GAACTAAAATATATAATAACAATATATTCTAATACAGTGGTTTGTCAAACACAATGTTCAAAATTTCTTACTTCGTCTAGGACCAGGTAAAGATGTAGATATATTTTGTGTGTGTGCTTGTGGTACTTGTGATTGAACCAAGGGTCTTCTCACTGAGCTATGTCCCTAAACCATTTAAAATTTTTTTATTTGAATCAGTCTCCCCAAATCACTAAGTTGCCCAGGCTGAGCACAAACTTTTGAAACTCCTACTTCAGCTTTCGACAGCACTGGTATTATAGCCATTCCTGGTTCAGGGTAAATATATTAATGCTGATTCACTTTACACAGGGATACATTAAATATGAATGTGAAAAGTTCGTCCTATTTAACTGATAAGAAAGCAGAAATAGAAGATATAATTTCTAAACTAAAGAAAAAAATAAAATGAGAAATAACTCATGTAAAGCTAACAAAATTAAATTAAATTGTTTTGTTTTTCATTTTTTGAGGTAGGGTCTCATTATGCAGTTCAGGACAGACTTGATTTCTCTTCGTAGCCCAAGCTCACCCCAAACTCACAGTGAGTGATCCTCTTCAGCCTCCCAAATGCTGGGATTACAGTCATGCACCATCACACCTGACACAATAATTAATTTAAAGAGTTAAAAATTTTAAAGGCCATTACACAAGAAAAAAACTTATGTTTACAAAATAACATGTCTAGACTCTAAGGATAGAGTAACATTTAAATAAAAAAATAAGCAGCTGGGAAAGATGGTCTTTCCTAACTAAAGTTGCAACTCGTGCCGTGTGGTTTGCCAATCTTCTCTAGATTGCTGTTCCAATGCTGCTGTTACTCAGAGTTATGCTTGACACTTTTCTCTCACTCAGCATACTCTTTGTGGGGTACTCAGCCACAATCAGAACTGTGATTATCAACCGAGCACTGTTGACTCGCATCCAATAAGTCCAATTCTTGATTGTACCCTGATCACTGAGTCCTTATGGTTAAGGGATAACTAGGTAGTGCAACCTACATGTTCTTAAACTTATGATGCCCAAACCTTCCCCCTCTCAAAAAACAAGTTCTCTATTTGCACACCTGATTAATAATACTACTAACCACTTTAGCAAGAAACCTGAAGTAAAAAAAAAAGTGAATCCTGAAGTCATCCTATTGTCCTTCCTATTCATCAGCCACAATCTTTTATAGTTTATAGTAGTCCTCAATGTGATCTAGAAGAAGAATGACCCCCACACACAACTCTCAGACTTTCACAGTTTGACCTGCTGTTAGGAGGTGGGGCCTGGTTGGAGCTGGGTCACTGGAGGCATGATCTGGAAGATCTCCATGCCCAGCTCTTCCCTTCTCTCTCTGCTTTCTGGCTACTGTGACATGAGAAGGTCTCTTCTGCGGGATTGTTTCACCATGCTATTTTTGCCTTGAAGCCAGTCAACTATGAATTGAAAATGTAACTTGGTAAAGACGAGGCTCATGAGGTTTCAGTTGGGAAGGAGGACTCCATTAGCAGGTGTATTACAGATAATATGTTTTATACTCTGGCAAAAATTTGGTGAGCATTTTGCTCATTTTCTTAGATTTCATGGGGCACTGACATTAAGTTGGACAGACTAATATAATGGAGCGAGAGGCATCCATGCAGCCCAGGAGGAGAACCAAGAAGCCAAGCCATGCCCTCCTGTGAGCCAGCCAGCACATGGGCCAGGAGACAAGAAGATGCCCTGCCCCACCCTGTAAGCAATCCACTGATTCCCACTATGTAGTTGAGGCTACAGGTAGCCCAGTTTGGCCTTGAACTCATGACCATTCTCCTCCCTCAGCCTCCCAAGTGCTGGGATTACAGGTATGCACCACACATACAGTAAAAGCCAATTTAAATGTTCCGAGTTTCACTAAAAATTAGGGCCTGCAAAATTGGAGCAAAAGAGAATAGTTGCTGAAAATATTAGCATTAAGAAGAAACAAAGCATTTTGGATCAGTATAACAGGAAAGTTCCCTTGAGGACTTTTCAGGAGTCAGTGAGACTCTACCATTTGGTGGACTAGGGGTGTAAAAGGGTAAACACAACGTTCTTTGAAAGATTTTCTTGAGAGAGAACCCCAGGGTACACTATTACTGAAGGGTCATATAGGGAAATTGTTCCTCAGGATTCAATTCCCAATGCTCAGTTATTCCAGCACTCAGGGGCCACTGCAGTAATGATCTGAGGGGGCCTGGTTACTATCAGGCTGGCAGCAGACCTTGATGACATTCACACAGTATTGGTTTAACAAGCATGGAAAATGCACACGTTGTGGAGTCAGAGGGGCTTCCTTGTACATCTCAGAACGAGCCATGAAACCCAGCAAGTGTGCCCATGAGATAGATGGCAGTGCGTGAAGCTGTCAGAGGAAGCCAAAAGAGGGCACAGGAAGTTGGAGATGCCAAGAACATGGAACACGTAAGGAAAGTCACTGGAAGTGAACAAAGCCAAAAAGAGGCCATCAGCTAGTAATAATTTAGGGACAGGGCTTTTTAGAATTCACCTCTTAATACAGTTTGTACTGGGCACTGCCAAGGAAGCTACAGGACTTGATGTTTGCTGTGCTGGATTCGATCTTGCTTTGGTCTGGATTTCTCTCTAGTCTCCCTTTTTGGAATGGGAATGTTCACCCTGTGCCACTCTACATTGGAAGTGTTTAACCTTCTTCTTTATTTTTATAAGGATTCACAGTGAAGTCTGTGTTGAGTCTCATGGGAGACTTTGGACTTTTTAGCAATGTTAAAACTGTTAAAACACTGATGACGCTTAGAGATGAACTAAATGCATTTGCATAAAGAAATGTGAATGAGTCTTTTGGGGGCCAAGATGCAGTGTTATGGTTTAGATGAAAAATGACCCCCAAACTCTCATGTGTTGAGGTGAGTTGACTTCCGGTGAGCAGATGGGGCCTGGCAGGAAGTCAAGAGTCACTGGGGGAATGCCCTGACAGGTTATATCTCTCACTTCGAAGTCTCCCGCTTCCTGGCCTCTCTACTTCCTGGCCACCATGACATGAGTAGCTTTCCTCTGTTAGATCCTTCCACTATATTACTTCTGCCTTGGAGCCAGCTAACCACGGACTGGACACATGAGCTGTTACTGCTGATATATTGGATCAGTTTGAGAAGTTTAGAAGTTTAACTAAGAGACACAGCAGGGAGCCAGGTTTCTTAGTTCGAAAATATCCTCATCTTGTGCAAGAGGAGGGCATGGAGATTTTGTGAGTGCTACACCTACTCTGGAGGGAGGGTGTACACTATAAGGGAGAAAAAAGGCTTGCTCTTCCCTACTTGTGCTCTGGCTCCCTGCCTTGCTGGCTGCTGTCTTGAATTATTCCTGCGCTGTGCCTCTCACCCTTGGAGCCAACTGATCATGGACTGAAGTCTTCAAAAACAGTGAGCTAAATAAACCTTTCCTTCCTTCATTTTGGGTGTCGGTATTTTGTCCCAGCAAGAGAGAAACGTAACCAAGACATGAGCCAAAACCTCTCTGCCTTTAAGAGTTGTGGGTGTCAAGTATTTTTTCCTAGCAATAACTAAAATGATTACAAAAGTCCTGTAGATTCTTTTTTTTTTTTTTTTGTGGTACCAAGAATCAAACTCACGACCTCACACTTGTCAGGCAGGCACTTACGCTGCTGGAGCTAAATCCCTAGTCCCTAGTCCTGTAGATTCTTAACTGTAACATCTCATTTCAGCTTATTGTTTCTCCTTTCCAGAGCTTCCCTAGTTGAAGAAATACTTGTATGTCTGCAAAAGTCTTCATATAAATTTCTGCCCTTCAAGTCACATTATCTCTGGTGTGGATATTCTAATAGGTATATCTGATACAATCCCCTTGCTCTCAATCCTTTAATGATAGGTTTCTGCCATCATTTCCGGAAGAAAAAAAAAAACTCCCTTGAATAACATAAATATAATTTCATGACCTATTGTACAATCCCATCTGCTGCTGTTTTTCCCATAAAAGCAAAACTCCAAGAAAGTTGAATGACTCCAACTCCACACCCCACCCCCATGCCTGCAAATTTTTCCTCATCCTTCATGTACCAATTTGTTTCCTCTTGTGGGAAAAATCTCCTGGAATTCTGTTCAACACATTACGCTTCTATTGCTGTATTCCGTGTCTATCATTTTTTTTCTCCAAGCATATTTCATAATGCTGTCCCATATTTTCTCTCTTCAAATTGGCAGCCAGCTTTATGTAGCTTGGATTTTAAATTTAATATTAATCTGAACATTTAAAAAGTTACATGAGTTTGTAAACACTGGCAATTTTATTGACAGATACTTTTGAAAGGAACATTTGGTTTGAGTCACTAGACTCTTTCCCCATTGAAGCCAGGACCCACATACTGAGCTGCATCCCTAGTATAAGTTGCTAAATTGCCGGGCTCAGCTGGAACCTGGGATCCTCCTGCTTCAGCCTCCCAGAGTGCTGAGATTACAGGCGTGGGCCTCCCTACTTCTAATACTACTTCAGCTTCTCTCCCCTTACTTGCCTCCTCATAAAGGTGTATAACTAGACTACATACAACTCTAGTCTCTGGGCAGCAATTTACAGCTTATTTTGTTTTTTATTATTACTCTTCAATTGGCCCCCTTCATTTTTACAGATGAGGAGGCAGGCTCTACGATGATATACAATTTAGTCAAAAACCTCTACAATTAATACCCATGAAACCTTGGCATCATCCATTCTTACAAAAAAAAGGGAAAGCTACCTCCTTCTAAAATTCTTTAGCCCACCCAGTTTTCACAAATGGAGAAAAAGTATAAAAAAGAAATGCTGGAAAAGATGGGATATAAAGGGAACAAAAACAACCAAAGGCACGCGGGGAATCCTTGAGTGAACTTCCGTTCTTCAGTGAACTTCCGGAATCCACCAGAGGACGACCCAATCAGAACCTTCCTCCTGAAACCAATGGGATACCATATTACAAAGAGCCAATCAATGCGGCGCTGTCACTGTTATGGTCCGGTCACGGCGCCGGCGTCACGGTGCTTGGGCGGTCGCCACCAAGAGTTGTGTATCTTGGTGAGGCCTTTGTGGGGGTACCGTCTGGGACGGTCCTCTCGCGCCTTGCAGCCAGTCTGCACCTCAGAATCGTGGGCTGCAGCGTAGTGCGAGCGTGCGAGTCGGCGCCTGGGCTGCCGTGGGGCCTGGGCCCAACAGCAGCCTCTTCCTTTGCAGCGAGCAGAGAGAGGCCGCAAAATGCAGCCGCCGGGTCCGCCCCCGGCGTTTGCCCCCACTAACGGGGACTTCACCTTTGTGTCCTCGGCCGACGCGGACGGTGAGCGGGAGCCGCTGCGCGGTGGGTGCCCTCCGGGGGTTTTGGGGTGCTGGGGCAATGGTGGCCGGGCGGGGACTCCAGCCCTCGGCCCTGCGGGCCTTCCGAGTGTCCCGGGGGCTGGGGCCACAGTTTTTGGAAAGCTCGAGTGACTCGGCAGCTCCTGATTTTCCCCACAGCGCCTGAGAGTACTGCTTTCTGGCTGTCTTATTCACCACAGGGGGACACATGGAACCCTAAGGTTTCATTTCTGGAATTTCTCGCAGTTTCTCTGAAAAAGGGACAATCGGTTGGCTATAGGAGGTATCCAAGAATAAGAACAAAAAAGTTTCTGTTATTTATCAATGGAAAAATCTTCACGGGAGTTAGACTTGACGCTGTAAATGCAGACTTCCCTCAGGGAGTTCGTGGTTTTTATTGAATTTGATTGCTTGGATCACAGTTCTTGGAAAATAGCTTTCCATTTTAGTGTTTGGCCTCAATATGCAGCAAGGTGGACCCAGTGCGTTGGAAGCTTCGCATAATTTAACTACATATCCAATTTGCTAAGTTGCCCAGCTTTTACACGTTTGTTGTACAGTTTTGAGAAAGCTGTTGTGCTGGAAATTTTTCTGCAGCACAGGAAAATGTTTTTAGCCTTTGTCCCTTTTCCATACTCACTTCTTTTTTATCCTGAATCTTTACTAGTCAATTTCAAGAATTTTTACTAGTCAATTTCAAGAATCTTTACTAGTCAATTTCAAGTTTTACTTCTGTTAGTTTGTATATATATTTTTACTGACCACACCTGCTGTCTGATATAAAAGTACAGATTACTTTGGCCAGAAATTTCAGGCTAGAGAAGACCGTAAATTTTTCTCAGAAATACGATTTCATAGAACATCTGTAAATATATCTTGTTATCCCTTTTGTTTCCCTTGTTTTGCTGTTTGGCATTTTTTTAAAAAAAAGTAATGATTATGATTTTAAAGGTAAAATAAACAGGTGATGCACTGCAATCTTGGCACTGAAGATGAGGCAGGAGGATCAAAAGTTCAACCCCTGCCTGAGCGTCTTAGAGACTTGTGCAGACCCTGTCTCAAAACAGGAAAAAAAATAAAGAGGTCAGGAGGGTGAGGATGTAGCTCAGTGCAAATGTCCAAAGTTTAATCGCCAATAATGCAAAGAAAATGAAAAATTTCAAAGGGAATATAGCTGACACAATTCTCTTAAACTGAAATAAAGCGACTTTAATGTATTTCAATTTGTTTCATCTACTTTTTTTTTATGTTGTGTTGGGTAGCACTGAGCTATGGCTCCAGCCCTTTTTGAGACAAGGTCTTGATCAGTTGCCCAGGGTAACCTCGAATTTGTTATCCTCTTGCCTCATCCTCTCCAGTTTCATCTACATTTGATAGCATGGTGCTTATATCAAACTTATTTCCCAGACTTAAAACAAAAAAACTGTCCATTTGAGTTTTAGAAACTGTTGTTTGTATACGTCCTCTCTTCTTCCAGGAGTATGTCCCAGAAGTTTGACAAGGTAATGTCAGGCTTACTCATTTTTATCATAGACTAAGGAACTTGGAATAAATGAAATCCATAAGGTTTATAAAAGTTTCTCTTTGTTTCCTCCAAGGATATATATCCTTCATATAAAGTTCACATTTACAGAGTATTTTAAACCTACTGCTCTTGCTGGGGATTTAGCTCAATGGCATAAGCACCTGCCTGGAAAGTATGAGGTCGTAAGTTCAGTCTCTGGTACCAAAAAACAAAAACAAAATCCTACTACTCTTTTGATCATTTTAAGATCCTAATGCTTTATCATTCCTGTATTTTATAAAGAAACAGGATTAGAGCAGTTATTTTACCTCATGGCTCTTGAATTAAGAACTAGTCTTCTGTCTCCTTATGTTTCTTTCCCATAAACCATGATGCCTCTTGCGTATGTTTTATAAATGGAGTAGTATAGATCTGAATTATAACCTGTCCTGAGTTTGCATCCTGACTTTCTGGCTTCACCAGTTATTATCTGTGTAATCTTAGCCGCGTCCTTTGCCCTCCCTTAGCTTTAGTTTACTCATAAAAATATTTAGACTAATACCCAAGTGCTCAAATACTTTGCAAATGTAAAACAATACTGAATCTAGCCGAGTTAAGTGTGCCATATATATAAGTAATGATGCTGCTCTTGGGGCCCAGTATTAACCTGTCCTACCCTTTTTTATTGATATATTTTTGGTAAATGCTTTTATAAGTTCTGTCTAACACACACACACACACACACACACACACACACACACACACCCCGCGCGCCTTTTGAGATAGAGTTTCATTATGTAGCTCAGGCCGGCCTTGAACTCACAATGCTCCTCCTGCCTCAGTCTCCCAAGTGCTGAGATTACAGGTGTGCACCACCACACCCAGTTTGTCCAGGTCTCTTGTTGTTAAGGATACCTTTCATTACTATCTGTTCACATAAATCCTTTTTTTAAAATATGTCAAGTATTTTGCCACTATATGTATGCATATCCTAGTCTTCATACTTTGACTGTCTTTCTCTTCTTTAAGTTAAAATTTAAGAGTGGGCTGGGGGTACAGCTCAGCAACACAGCATCTGCCTAACAAGCTTGAGGTCATGAGTGTGATTCCTGCTACCAAAAAAAAAAGAATTAAGACTGAACTCAAGTGCTCCTTTGGTGAAATTTTGTTTAAATGTCCCTCAGAAACAGAAACTTCTGAATTGTTTGCTGTATACCAGCACTTACCCAAAACCCATGTATGTATTAAAAAGTGAATTGTCTGTTTAATTATTTTTGCTTTTTAAAAACCCCTCTTTTTTTTGTACTGGGATCAAACTCACAACTGAGTGCTAGCAAGGCAGTTGCTTATGCAGCTGCACTAAATCCCTAGCCCCTGCTTTTTAAAATTCTTACATGTCTATTGATAGGAATATAAAACTTCACACATTTTAAAAGCTGGATGTGGTAGTGGATGCCTATAATCTCAAGACTCTTGAAACTAAGGCAGGAGGATTGCCATGAGTTTGAGGTCAGCCTGAACTACATAGTGAGCCCTTGTCTCAAAAACAACAATAAACTTAGCACATTTTAAATTATATAACTAAAACTTACTGGCTTTATAGCTGCAGAGACTTCATGGGATACTTCTTTCTTTCTTTCTCTTTTCTTTTCTTTTCTTTTCTTTCTTTCGTTTTTTGTACCAGGGATTGAACTAATAACCTTACGCTTGCTCGGCAGGCACTTTGCTGTTTAGCTGTATCCCCAGCTCCCTAAATACTCAGTTCTTACAGAAGCTCTTTGGTAATGAAAAATTACATAACTTGTATAAGCTTTCATTTATACCCTATAAAATGAAAAGCATATTACAAAATTTATGAGGATTATTGAAGCTAATACATGAAAAGCAAGATGCTTAGGTGCAAGTTAAAAGAGCGTGAGCTATGTGTTGGAGCTGTAACTCAGTGGGAGGATGAGTCCATGGCATGCCCTGGGTTCAGTCCCCAGTAGTAGGACAATAAATGGGAGTAAGTACGTGTAAGTAAATAAATGAACGGATAAGGAAATCCAGATTGAATATTCAAGTCTGTGGTATAAAATTACATCTGGAGACAGTAATGAAATGCATATAAAAACAAGACTATAACTTAAAAATTTAAAAACAAGACTGTAATAACTTAAAATTTTTTTTTTTTTTAGACTAAAAAGATGGAAGACTAAAAAGATTTAAGAGCTGTACAAGTGCAGCACAGCCGGGATTTAGCTCAGCGGTGTAAACGCTTGCCTGGCAAGTGCAAAGTCGTGAATTCAGTTCCTGGTACCAAAAAAAAAAACCCCAAAGAATCTGTACAAGTGCAGTAATTAAAGTAGAAGCAGTCTCTACATCTTAACTTAATCTTTCCAGACCTAAAACAATGTTGATTTAAACTTATGTGCTCCTTGGTTTTAGAAGCTGTGCTAGCTGGGGTGTGGTGGCACATACCTGTAATCCCAGCATTTAGGAGGCTGAGACAGGAGAATTGCTGATTTGGAGGCCAACACACAAACTGAGTTCAGGACCAGCCTAAACCACATAGAAAGACCCTGTCTTAACCTGCCCCAGGTAGTGGATATGGCAGTATCATATCCACTACCTAGTGTGGAGCCCAGCACATAGAAGGATCTAAGTGTTTGTTGAGTGAATGAATGACTGCATTGACTGCATGCTTTTTGATTAAGGTCAAAGAACTGTGCTGCTAGCAGTAAAGCCAACACTAACTCAATAAGTAGTTAGGAAGAACATGAGCAGAGATAACAAAGCAAAAAGAAAAAAATACAAGCCAGCCAATAAACTATCCTGATTTTTCCGCAGTACTTGGGATTGAACCCAGAACCTTCACACTGAGCAGTATTCCCAGACCTGTTTCTTGTTTTGAGATAGGTTTTTGCTGAGTTGCCCATTCGGCACTTTTGTGATTTTTCTGCTCAGTCTCCCAAGTGCTGTGTTTACAGCTGTGTGCCACCACACTCAGCTATTATGCTTTTATTTATTTATTTTTTTGTTACAGGAGATGAAACTCCCCACCTTGCACTTGCCAGGCAGGTGCTTCTGCCGCCGAGCTCAATCCCCGGCCCTGTTACTGCTTTTATTCTCATTTTGCCTGCCTCTTTGGGGATCTTTCTTTTCTTTGTTTTTTTCTCTAGCTTTTTTTTTTTTTTTTTTTTTTTTGTGGTACTGGGGATTGAACTCAAAACCTCACGCTTGCCAGGCAGGAGCTTATGCCACTGAGCTAAATCCCAAGCCCTTTCTCTAGCATTTTGTTTCACTCTTATTCATCTCTGCTACTACAGATCCCTTCCTAATTGATGTGGTTCTGAATTAAAACTGCTATTTCCCCTTTCCTTGTGTTACTAGCCAAAATATCCTGGTTATTTCCTAATTCCTTCAGCTTCCAGAGTCTGTACCAGTATTCTGCTCAGTCTGTACATGCTTTCTGTGATCTACAGAAGTATCTTCAGCAATGTTTCCTAAAGCAGAAATGG